ACATCCGCGTCCTGGGTAAGACGAGAAACTATGTCCAGCAGCAAGGCCTCTGATCAGGAGGTTTTGAGGAGCGTGGAACCACCTCTTAATGGCTGGTGTTCACAGGCCCACCCTGACCTGGGGTGGTAGCACCTGTTAGGGGTCCCAGCTATGGGCAAACTATAAGCTAACTATTATCAGCGATACTTTTTTTAAAGAATTATTACCAGCAATACAATTATGAAGGAAAAATATTACCAGAAACAGATTTTTCACAAAAGAAAATATTACCACCAATTAAAAAATTTTGTCGGCATTAAATAACCCATTGAGGATGACATGCGGTAAAATAAAATAAACCAGACCAAATAAACCAAAATTGTAAATGTTCAACTGCGAAAAACAGATAAAACTTATTCAATTCAATAAAATTGACCCCCGCCTCAAGGACGGCCTCCCCGCGGCCTCGGGAGCAACTGCATGCACATATCTGATGGTTTGGGTTCTTGTTGGTCATCATATTCACGATAACTGTCTTCAAAAAGTCCTTAATACTGTAGGACAGTAGATTTGTTTCCCTCTCGACGACATGCCAGAAGTTGGCATCCAGTAAATTCAAACTAGGAGAACTTGCAAAGGAAGGCGCACTTCTCGACCATTCAATCCTGAATCACGTCGGACAAGTAGCAGAGAGCAGAATCATGTCTGAGTAAATACTACCACCCATGCATCATCCCCTCGATCGATCGAAAAGATCTGGAGCAGCATGATATGATTCTCCTTCCTTATGACGCCAGGATCATTAAACATTTTGTGAATTTCTTGTGCATCAGATATTTCCAGATATTGCACAGTTTCTCATGGAGGCGCCTTTTCCACGGATTGTCGGACATAAATTACACTTTTCTTATTCTCCAGGCTATTTTCGGTATATTTGAAACAAAAAATAATGGCGATAAGAAAAGTAATTTTGCTGATTTTATAAATAATGAAATTAATATCTATCGGCCTAAAGATCGAAAGTTGAAAGACACATTTATGTCTTTATTAAGACATTCGCTCTCTCACGCGATAGATATTAATTCAATTGTTTAAAAAACAAGGATGCTTACACAAACGCGTGTACTTACTTGATATAATGTTTATGTTAATAAGAAATACACACATACATATATATATATATATACACACACACATATATATATATATATATATATATATATGATAAAAGTACAATTTTAAGATATGCTATGTTTATGGATAAAAGTTCTCACTATCAGAGATATTATATATTTATATGTGTGTGTGTAAAATATTTTTAGATACAGTGTGTCTGTAGAAGAGACAAAATGAATAAAAATAGAGAAGAGGAAAAATGATTCTTACCCGACGAAGAGGACGAAACGCGTCTCTAAGAATAGTTTGTCGCTTTTTTATTGATATATATAAATATATATATATATATATATATATATATGTATGTATGTATATGTATATATAATTTTATATATATATATATATATATATAATTTTATATATCAATAAATACACACACACACACATATATATATATAGATAGATAGATAGATAGATCGATCCTTTTCTGCATACTATGGTGAAGTTTATAATATTAAATTCTGTAATGTTTCTGAAGGCTGCGGAATAATTATGAAAATATATTTGAAGCTACTGACTCATTGCTATTATTCGATGTCTTTTTTAGTAATAAATATAGTTTTAAAGGAATCTGAAGTAGATTTTATTCCTATGCAAATATATATTTTATTAATATCTATATTCCTATCTGCGCAAACATACTGCTTTATGAACTTACGTTACAATCCACTGATTTAACTGTCCTACGTCATATTAAAAATGACTTTTTTTTTAAGTTTAAATATTTCCTATGATGACAATTTGATAAAATCCAAGACCAAATAGTATAGATTTTCGACCAGAAGAATATATACTTACGACGACCTATATTTTAACACTGACAAGTTCAAAAGAAAATAATAAATATACACAACTATAAAAGAAAAGCAAATATAAACCCTATTGAACTCATTTGACACACTATATTTTATATAACAGGAAGAAATCTCTCGTTTACAAATGACATCTTTTTAGTTCAGGAAAGTTTAAACGAGACTTTTAAAAAAGACATTTAAATATTCACAATAATAACATCTATTTTAATTAGTCAATCTGAAGAAATTAAAAGACTTTAAAAATAAAAAAAAGAATTCATTAAAAATACCTAAAGATTATCAATTCGTCAATTTTTATTTCTCTGTATTAACTGCTTGCATTAAAAAAGAATGACTTGATATTGAGAAGTAATATCAAGTTATTTTTATTATGAAGTAATAAAAATGGAAAATAAAATATATTGTCAAGTGGTTAAATTAAAATCAAACTGATATTAATTCATTTTTAATACACGTTTATTTTCCTGGGACATTTGTTCACTGATTGCAAATTGCTTCAATAAAATAAGAAATAATTAACTGTTTTTGTTTTTATATATTTATTTATAAACGTATACAGCGAAAAACTGAATTCACGTTCAGTGTGGAGGAGTCTGTATTATCGAAGAGAAGCTTAGTGGTATCGTTAAAGTCGAGTAAAAGAATGTAGCAATTTAAAAATAGCCAAAGGAAGAATTTTATAATATGATCCGCGAAGGTTTATCAAAGACAAATACACATAAAAGAACATCGATTTCCAAAACGGAAGTAAAATCAAACGTTTTATTTCAAAGTTTATTTCATTTTACATGGAATATTTACATCCATTTTTCTCGCTTTACTTAAAATTGTATTAAATTCAATCGACAAATTTTGATTAACTGTTACTGTGTTATTCCATTTTATTGCCCAACAAGATCAAAATTATGAATTAACTGAGCAAAGTGTAAATAGAAATATATATATATCTTTCATTTCAATAGATGGTATATTAAAATATTTATAACATATTTAAAATGCGTATAAAATAATTATATAAACATTTTCCGGTATTGTCTATGAGCATCATGTTAATTATACAATAGACATTCTGAAATGCAACGGTCCAAAAGTGCCAGGATGTAGCTAATAAATATTCTCTACGATACTGACAGCATTTACTTCCTAATAAAGAGAGAGGCAGTCGAAAGTACTGGAACAAAAATCGAAAAAAACATGAGCATTAAACAGTTTATCTCGAAATCTGATGCAGATGTGCAAAAAAATACATTATTTGAAAAGTGGAAAAATACAATAAATATTTAACCAGATTGGTCGTTGAGCTGAATACGAATTTAATCGCTTAATTATACACTATATATATATATATATATATATATATATATATATATATATATATATATATATATATATATATATATATAATAAATTTATCATATTAACAAAAGCATTTTATTCACAACAAAGATGCAACTTGGTGAAAACTTTCGATTCTCACCCGTCAAAGTGCAGTTGAAATGCACTGAAACCAAGTTGCATCTTTGCAGTGAGTAAAATGGTTTTGTCAATATGATAAAATTATAAGAAATAAATAATTATCGTTCTACTATCGGTATCGAGCCTCTTTTGGATTAATGCTGTGAACGTTGGAATTTATATATTACTTTCGTTCTCATCGCATCGGATATATATATATATATATATATATATATATATATATATATATATATATATATATATATATATATATATATAGTATATATATATATATATATATTAATGTAATGAAATAGTGGTTCAAATAAAATAACAGTAAAATTTATACTAATAATAAATACAAATTTGTTCCCTGTACAAATATATATTATATATATATATATATATATATATATATATATATATATATATATATATATTATATTATATTATATTTCCAGTTTTCAAATAAAAGATTTTTTTAAATATGCGGATCCGAAATCTAGATAAATTATCCAATGCTCATGTTTTCTTCGATTTTCGTTCAGTACTGTCGTCTGCCTCGGCCATTGTTAGGAACTAAATGTTGTCAGTATATATATATATATATATATATATATATATATAAAACAGGCTCAAATATATTAGATTGGAATCGCAATCAGGATCCAAATCATCAGACCTACAAAAAAGTCTAATGATTTTGATCGTGATTACGATTCCAATCAAATCTCTATCTATAAAAGTCAGGATGTATGCGCGCGCGTGTGTGTGTGTGTGTGTGTGTGTGTGTGTGTGTGTGTGTGTGTGTGTGTGTGTGTGTGTGTGTAACGAATACACGGCGGCAATTTTCGATGGATTTGCGTCACAATTTACATGCACATGCTCCAAGTTAGCGACTTTGCATTTCCCAACTCTCATCGATAGTGGAAATAATCGATTTTTTCATGCTTCTACGGCAGTTTTCATGTAGTTTGAGGCCATTCTCTACTGGCTAGAATGAGATCCTATAGCTGACTGCCACGAATAGGCAGGAAGATTCTATTGGCCAGCGTGAGAGCCAATAGCTGACTAACACGAATGTTACCTAGCATGCTAGCATGCAAAAAAATCGATAGCTGCATTAGTCACAAGTGGGAAAAATTTAAATCTGCATGGCACTTTACACCAATTGGCTCATTCGCTTGCTTAAACTCAACGTTGATTCTGATTCCGCAGAACTGGGTTGGATGTGAAAAAGTATTTGTTGTTAACATTCTTTTTTAATTCGGTTTTTCCAGTTACGAGTCCTTTTTTAAAGCTGATCGTTTTGCGTTCATTTTGTTTAGTTCTTTTTTCGTAACAGATTTAATGTTTAGTATAAAGCTTAGAAAAAATCCGCAGTGTGAGATAGGCAAGAAGTAAGACATCAGCACGGCAAAGGGCACTCCTTTAAAGGCAACGAAGGGCAGAAAGTCAAGTGATACTGACTTAGGCATTTTTATCCAAAATTGTTACACTCTATATTCACTAGCAAATTAAGAGTATTCTCGGTAAAGTAAGCATATGATTTTTATTCATCCTTATGCTACAGACTTCCTCTAGATAGATAGATAGATAGATAGATAGATAGATAGATAGATAGATAGATAGATAGATAGATAGATTGATCTTGTACATGCACACCCCAACAAACACAGATACTAATATAAATATATAAACTGAATCATAAAATAAATTGTCGGTCTTTTACGATGCAAAAATTTACGTCTAAATATTAATCTATGCCATCAAGGGACGTTGATTGACTACAAAGACAGAAAAAACCTATTTAACCATACAAGATAACATATTCCAAAGTGCTCAAATATTAATAATTAAGAAAATGATAACTTTATTTATACTTCACTAACCATTTTCACGAGGGATTCACTATATATACTAGTTAAATATTAAGCTGAATTTCAATCCAATGATGAAACTTAATAGTGTTTTTTAGTACTTTATTAACAGTGTCCGATAATAAAAATGAGTTGATTTGTTATTGAGACAAATGCATCGAAATTGAAAATATTAACATCAATGACACACGCCGTTGGATTTCAATACTACATTCATAATTTATCCTTCGTGTGTGGTAGAAGTATTTTATATACCAAAATGATTAAGATTTGCTATATATCTATTTTCTGCCACATTGAAAAACACAGATTAAAACATACGCATATACTCATAAACAAACGCACATGAGCGTACGCAACCGCATATACATACTCGCTTTGTTGGAGTGATATATTCAATCAAAGTAAATATAACACTACAGACTAAACCGAGGTTATTAATACTGTACGCACTGGGCAACCCACATTTGATTTCTTATACAATATCTCGGGTGCATGCTGTAGTGTATCGAGTTTCAATACCGGACGCTGATTGTTTGGCATCCGAAAATATGGTTACTAAATAAATATATGGCAGACAGACAGATTCAAATCACTTGGAAGACGTGAGCAGCGCATTGTTCTTATGTAGCACTTCGCCATTTGTTCGGCTAATTGAACCTTAAAATATTGTTTTTAACTTCAGAAAATATAGAGAGAGTATATACAAGAATATTAACACACAAATATTTGTTATTTTTAATCATGGTAAAATTACCTATAAACGAAACAAATACCGCATTCTATCTCTCTTCTATCTCTCTCTCTCTCTCTCACACACACACACACATATATATATATATATATATATATATATATATATATATATATATTATAAATTAATTGGTTTAAATCAGTATGTATATATATATATATATATATATATAGATAGATAGAATAGATAGATTATAAATTAACTGATTTAAAATATATATATATATATATATATATATATATATATATATATATAGAAATTAACTGACTTAAATCAGTAAATGTATGTATATATATTATAAATTAACTGATTTAAATCAGTATATATATAATATAAATTAACTGATTTAAATCAATATATATACATATATATATATATATATATATATATATATATATATATAGATAGATAGATAGATAGATAGATAGATAGATAGATAGATAGATATATTATAAATTAACTGATTTATGCTCTGTAAATTTACATTCAGCATTGTTTTGTAAAAATAAAAATATCAATGAGAACACCGGATTAGATATATTACTATTCTTTCTTTTATTATAATATATATATATATATATATATATATATATATATATATATATATATATATATATATATATATGTATATATATATATTAGGATTTTACATCGAAAACATCTCAAAATCGCTACACAAATGCAGTTGTGTTTCGATTGTAAATTACTGGCAAGTGAACGCTTTATTTAGATTTAATTAAATAAATCTAAATAATTCGTTCACTCGTCAGTCATTTACAATCGTCTGATGAGATGTATTGATGCACATTGAAACTAGACTGCAATTTTGTAGTGATTTTGAGATGTCTTCGATGCAATATACTAAAATAAATAATATTGGTCTACTTTGTAACGAGCCCTCTTTTTGAATTAAATGTTACGAATGTTGGATTGTACTCTATTCGTTCTCATCTTACCTGTATATATATCAAGATTCTAACGTTATTTTAATTGTAGACGTTGCAGCTTTTTTAAAGTTTTCCATTTTACCATAGGAGTTTTATTAATATCTTTTAAATTTCAAAAATATTTGGAAAGAGATGTTCTATTTTTATAAGTGCTACTAGTAAAAGATTGTATATATTTGTACCACCTAGTTTTAATAGAATTCTTGGTACTCCCTACATCAAATTTCTCAACAGTCGCATTTTCTATTGTAGTTCTTAGTTGACCAGACATTTGTTTTGCAATGGGCAATCGTTAGAATTCCTGCAATTATTATTATTACTCAGGTTTTATAATGCTTTAAAATTTTATTATTACGCTTTTTTTTATATTTTTTTCAGGTCATCGGTGCTGCTCTAACCTAGTTTTAGTGAATGTTAAATATTATACTGAGTGGATTATTTCTGGGGAAATGCTTATCAATTAAAAGGAGGAACTTCTTCCTTAACTTAGTACTAACGATTTGGTTAAATAAGGGGAGTATATAGTAAATGATTTTCCTGTTCCTATTCCTTTTTCTTCGATCGCATTTCCTGTTTACTATACTTGATTTCTGTGCACTTGTAGCCATTATAAACCCTATACAAGGGGGTATTTTGTTGTTGAAAGTAAAAATAATGATTTACTCACTAGTTATTTACCATCGCCTGAAGAGGCACAGCTTAGTGCCGAAACATGAAAGCTGTTATGTAGCGATTTGTAACATGTTTTTGTTTTAATCTCCTATAATAAATAATATTAAGCGCTTCTTTGTATTGAGCCCCTTTTAAAATTAAATGCAACGGAGTGTGGAATTATACTCCATTTGCTTTTTTATACCAAGATATATATATATATATATATATATATATATATATATATATATATATATATATAACTATCTCTCTCTATATATATATATATATGTAGACCTTAAATATAAGATTTTTGATATACATACATACATATATATATATATATATATATATATATAGATATAGATATAGATATAGATAGATAGATAGATAGATAGATAGATAGATAGATAGATAGATATAGATATCAAAATCTTATATTTCATTGTTCTAGAAAGTTTTAATATTTCATATGAAGTAATGTGGCATGATAATTTATTTAAAGGCTCAGGAATAATCGACAGTATTAATTTATAATACGGTGCTGCATATACCAGAAATCAATATAAAACGTGATTTATCTATCTATCTATTTATCTATCTATATAGTGTGTGCGTGTATATATATATATATATATATATATATATATATATATATATATATATATATCAAGTGAACATTGAAGTCAACACTCAGAGGTGACATGTGGCCTGATGATTAGTTTAACATGAAACAGTCTGTCGCCTTACATACGCCCTATCTCTGATATTGAGAACTTTATCTCTTAAATATAGCATACCTTAAAACTATTTACATATATATATATATATATATATATATATATATATATATATATATATATATATATATATATATATATATAATAATAATAATAATAATAATAATAAAATAACAAATGTGAACGTCAGTCTTACACTTTTTCATGTTTACTCCAAGAAGTAATAATATATATTGCTCAACATGTCATACCCTTTTGGAATCAGGCCGACTCCGTAAGTAAAGTAAAAAAGCAATCCTGAAATTTTGGATTTCGAAGTTTTCATTATTACGATTGTTTTCCGCGGTTTTTTTTACGTGATTTTTCGTGGCGATTTATAGCACGATAACAATATTTCATAACTTGAAAAAGATCGAAATTAATTGGGAAATCATGCAAATGTCACCGGCGAAATAGAAAATAATTGTTTGTACGAAATGTAAGGACCTACGTACATCAAATTGTCCTTAAAATAAGTGGCGACAGAAGAATTATCGTTGAACATTTAAAAGGTAAACTTAAATTTTAATGCAATATTTAAATGCAGCGATCGCATTTACTCATCCCAATCTGTTCTGATGATCCAAGAGCCCTGACACCAGATCTATCTTAAATGACGCCAGATAAGGCGACTTCTAAGCCAGTACACACACACATACGCACACACACATACATACATATATATATATATATATATATATATATATATATATATATATATATATATATATATATATTTTATATATATATATATACATACATATATATATATATATATATATATATATATATATATATATATATAACACACAATATATACACAGATAGATAGATAGATAGATAGATAGATAGATAGATAGATAGATAGATAGATAGATAGATCACGTTTTATTTTGATTTTTGATATATGCAGCACCGTATTATAAATTAATACTGTCGATTATTCCTGAGCCTTTAAATTAATTATCATGTGACATTACTTCATATGAAATCTTAAACCTTTCTAGAACAATGAAATATAAGATTTTGAAGCGTTATAAAAGTCAATGTTATTGCTTTCATTCCGTGAATTAATATTTCGTGTATCGTTGGCCACTTCCACTCGTTCTTCGATGCTGCTATATCAAACGGCGGGAAGCGATATGAATTCATAAAACGAAACTGATACAATCGATTTGTATTTAAAGCTGGTGAGCTACGAGTTTGCTTTTTATATGCGAGGTATTCTTATGTACGTTTTTAGATGTAATAAATGCGTTTATTTTCACACAAATTCTCTTGGGAAAGGCATGTATCCGTCTTTTTTGTATTTTTTTTAAACTCCAGCTATTTGTTAAGTTTTAGAAGTGATTATCCTTGGCTCGTAACTTCTAAGAGAAACGTGGAGGTAAAAAGAAACCATTCCACTATCTTTCTCACAATTTAAAGTGATTCGTAGATAAGGAAATGAAATGAAGAATAATGATCGACTACGTCCTGAACGGTCAGGGTATTATTAACAATTGTAATTTTATCTTCAACAAGAAACCGGTTTCCTGAGTAAATGCGACTTGTAGTTACTGTATTCATAATAAAATATTTTCTAGACAAATATCAAAGAAATATTTACTTCATTCGACCAGTATATACTATTTTAAATGTTCAAATAAAATATTTATATGCTAATTCCACATGAATTTATGAAACGAAATGTTATTACGAGGCAATTCTTTCAAAGCCATTTCTTCAACAATATTGATTTTCTTATATTGTTTCGGACGTAGTATTTTTGGGTATATTCATACAAGATATTAAAAAAAAATCATAATATATTAATATTTATAAACCGCACTGATAACAGATTAAAGAAATTTCAGAATATAATCGGCGATTTAAACTTTATCGACAATAATGCTTACTTTTGAATTTTCAACTGTTTGTTTTTAATAAATTTTCTATTCTTTTTCAATATAAAAAATATATTTTATAAATAGACGTTTATAACTTACGGATTTTACATCTTTTTATTGTTTCTCAATTTTCTTAAATTACATTTTTATAGTTTCTGTATTTATTTTTGGGAAAAGTTAATTTCTATTTTTTCTTGTAAAAAGCGATATTTTTCAAAACATTATATTTAAAAAAAATTTTAAAATAATAAAATAACAATTCAAAATTTACACAACTAACAGATTAATAGAGATTCACTGTTTAAAAAATGTAATAATGATCCAGTTTCTGTTGGAACGAATCTAATTTATATGATTTATAGAGAAAATTAATTATTTTTTCTTATATTATTCTTCTTATTTTCGTATTAAATTATTGCGACGTGATGCTGTATATGCACGCGTCTTTAACGAAGTAAATAACATCAATTTATGCTTTTCTCTGCTGTTAAAAATAAAATATTTTCACATTTTATAGATACAGTTCATAGGTATTTTTTTCAGAGTCAATTGTATAAAACTAAGCATTTTTAAACTTTCAAACAGGATTCCTGAGGACTAAGTTAAGAAAAGTTACCAATAAAAAATTAATGATAAAATTTAAAGCAAAGTTATTTAGTATCGTAATTTTTAAATATTGCCCTTAATATCTCATCAGTTTTATTATTTTTTAAATTAATTTTCAATATATTTCTATTATGATCAGACAACAAATGTAAAATAAAATTACCTACAAATATTAAATCTGTACTTACGTTTAAAAAAAATCAAATTCAGTCCCATTGTAAAGAAGCCCGGTAATTTCAGTGAACAATTCATTTATCTTGAAATATAAACTGAAAAACATATTCAGTGTTAGCTATTCAAAAATTCTTGTAGCTCCCCCTCCTTAGTATCTAGACCTCGTGAATTTACGCGTTGTACCAGATTGGCAAATAAGTCTCATCGGTTTACTGTTAAAATAGATAGCTACAACCGTAAGTTCTATTCTAATATTTTCTTCTCACGTCTGACATTCTCTTCCGACTTCTTGCTTCCCCACCATTGACAATTTTCAAAAATTTAAATGCAATGTCAAGTACCATGTTTTATCTTCCTGAAACCTATTCTTTTATCCTCCTTTCTCTTCACTAACGCTTTCTCATTTTTTCCCCTCCCAGTAAAACCCCTTGTGTCTTAGTGGCATTATCGCCTTGTTTAGTTTGAACTGATTAAAAATAAATGGGTTTGGTGACAGAGAAATCCACTAATGTCAGAAAGTAAATTTTCGACATTACCACGTTTAATTCCTGACAATTTGAATGCAATATTTACATTAATGCATTTATAATCAGACTTGTGCATATATACATGTGTGCATGAGTGCATATGTGTGTGTGGAGAGTGAGAGAGAGAGAGAGTAATCGAAAGAGAGAAATAAATAGACAGAGTGAGTACTCAAAAGCTAAGTCACCCACAATTTTCCACGTCAGACCGTGTGTATTGTAACTGCGAAAAGTTATTTTCAAAGATAAATGGCGATAGAAGAGAAAAGACAAATAAACCACTTCTATCTCCCTCCCTCTTCTTTCTTTCTTTCTTTCTTTCTTTCTTTCTTTCTTTCTTTCTTTCTTTCTTTCTTTCTTTCTCTCTCTCTCTCTCCCTCTCTCTCTCTCTCTTTCTTTCTCTCTCTCTGTCTCTCTCTCTCTCTTTCTTTCTCTCTCTCTTTCTTTCTCTCTCTCTTTCTTTCTCTCTCTCTCTCTCCCTCCCTCTCTCTCTCTCTCTCTCTCTCTCTCTCTCTCTTTGGACACGGAATTATACCGGAAGCAGGAGCAGGAATGCTTTCGGCCCAACCATTAAATGAACCTGCAGTTCCAAAGTGTTACTTCGTAGTTCAACACAGATGGTACCTAATTTCTGAAGAGATTTTAACCTTTTTTCCCTAAATCTTCGATTATTTTTTAATTGAAATACAATTTCGTGAGAAATAGTTTGTGCCAAGTAATTTTCAGCACCCTTTCATATAATAAATGAGCAATACATTGTTAACATAGCAAAAAGACAAACCTCACTGTAAAATGTAAAAAATACAGACCCATATATATATATATATATATATATATATATATATATATTTGGTTCCATATTTTCTTACATTTGATATTGATATATATATATATATATATATATATATATATATATATATATATATATATATATACACTCTGTTTATACGTTATTTTTAATACATTCAATTTATTTAAGTAAATGAAGCATTTTTTTTAAATAAACAGTATTAATTACATTACCGGCCTGAATGTAATTGATACTGTTTCTCTAAAAAACACTGGGCATTTACTTAAATAAATAATGTCTATGAAGAATAACGTATGAACAGAAAATATATTAAATAATTGTCGAACTTAATCCATTTCATAATATATATATATATATATATATATATATATATATATATATATATTTATTTATTTATTTTGGTTTATACGTTATTTTCATAGATACAAATATTTAAATAAATGATCGATTCTATAATAAATAATACTAACAACATTTACCTGCCTAAATGTCGGAGAAATCGCAAAGAAAAGATGTGTTCTCCGACAGGAATCGAACCTGTATCTTATACATACCCACGATATAGCCTGACGTGCTATACCATTTAGCTACAAAGAAAGCGCCCCTTAAGCAACATTAAATTAATTTTTAACCAGACATACTTTTTACTACACACACACACTCCCTCTCTCTCGCTCTCGCTCTCGCTCTCGCTCTCTCTCTCTTTCAATGTATACCGTGTATATCAAATTTTCCAAACCTTCTTGCCCCTCATTATTAATTGTAGAAATTTCAACTGTTTCTTCATGATTCTGGGTAAAGTGTCCTCTGAGTTTTCACTTACCTCGATATCCAAATGTACCGTCTCTCATTATTCTTAACAATTTTCTTTTTTAATTTTATCTAATATTATTATTCTAGCTTGATATTTTTTAAAGTGATTATAATACGATTAATAACGGTTTTTCTTAATGAATGCATAATTTAATTAAGATTTGTAGATAATCTGGAAAATGAAGACAATGTTTTAAAATATTATCTTAGGTTTTCACTGTGCAGCACAGTATATATATATATATATATATATATATATATATATATATATATATATATATATATATTAACTGATTTAAAATACTCATAATTGATACAACAATAGTTAACAAAAATGAACACGGTACCGCCCCTGTCTAAAGGATTGGATTTCTCTGTATCCTTGGAAACAGTCAATGATGAATTTATATGTGCGTTTAAAACTCAGTAAAGTTAAAAATAAGTTATTCCAATATTCGCTTGAGGATGAAACGGAACTAATGCTTTTAATTTAATTATATAATTAAATTTAAATATTTTAGCTTCCATTTTGAAACATGGTTATTACTGTGTGTGAAAAAGCATATTTTAAATCAGTTAAATATATATATATATATATATATATATATATATATATATGTACTTGGTATGACAGCAAAATTGTGTAACAGTATAATTGTCCATCCCATAAAATGTTTTAATACATATATATATATATATATATATATATATATATATATATATAGACACTAAACTAATTTAGTTTCTTTTTCCAGGTTTTCAGATAAAAGTTCTAACCAACTTCACATCATCTTACGAAAGAATCACGGATAACCCCATTGGGTTATTCAACTAGAAAGAAAACAGGTTAAAATCGTTTTGTGTCCGACCCACTGTCTTTCCAAATGAGTAATGGTGAGAGGAAAATATCATTCAGGCTTTCAGTCATACTACCAACATACAAAAAAGAGGAAACAGTAGAGAGGAAAACAGGATGAGGAAGTTGCAATAGAAAGAGGAAACATCATTTCACCTTAGAGCTAAAGAGATCAATTACAAAAGATTCAACTCTATCCATAAGACGTTTGACACGCGAGAGAAGAGTTTCAGCTATGACAGTCCAAAGAGCAGTGAAAAAAAAATTGGAAATGAAATCGTACGTGAAACCTGTGAGGCCCCTTGTTATTCGAGGACAGAAACTTAGAAGGTTAGAGAGGGCAATGATCATCTTCAATAAGTTGGCAAACTATCCTAGAATAATAGATATATATATATTTGAATTTTTTTTTAATACTTCATGAGCATCCGATCCTTAGCTATGATTAATTAATGATGAACATTATTCATTATGTTTATGATCGAATTTATCACGATCCTTCTGTTAAGCTTGGAGAGTAATTATACATTATTCAATTATACATTTAAATTAGAGTTCAATAGTGTTATAAAAACCTCGGAGAATTCCAGTAAGATATCTTTAATCATTTCTACGATACAACGGCTCAGAACTTTAACAAATGGACAATTTTGCTTTCATACGATTTGGACAATTTTTGTTACACTTTATATATATATATATATATATATATATATATATATATATATATATATATATATATATATATATATATATATATATCCGTTTTATATATGTCGAGGTAATAAATATGAAGGTATAAAATCAGTGAACAGAGTTCGAATTTCGGCTGAGCCGGCTTAAATTTGCTTCGCACTATTGATCTTGGGAAAAACAAGAATTTTCTTCTCTCTATCAGCTATGGTTAAATAGCAAGGCGGTTGTAGTCATTTAACTTTTTATGGCATTCTAACCATGAGAAGATTAGCAACTGCCATATTTGATCTCAGACCTGGTTGCGAAATGGAGAGTGGTGGGCGTCATATCAGCACCTTGTCCCCGTAAAAATTACAGTTGATACAGGAACAGTGTATAAATTACCAGTGAAGAAAAATAGCGTTCAAAAGGCAAGGAAAAGCTTGACCAAAATGTGCTGTCACTTGGGAAAGACTATACTATATATAAATGATGAAGAGTTTTCCGAAATATTCATTTCTTGCAATGTGAATTAAATGTCAATTATAAAAAGATCATCATGAAGTGGTATTATTATAGTCAGGATATATTTGTGCATATTTCCTTCAATATGGGAATACCCACTAAAACAGTCTCACACGGGCTTAGGAAATACCCCAGTGAGAGCATTTGGGCGATTTCCAGTTATAAATGTCCAAATTAACGACAAAATCATTTCTCTTTCAATGCCACTCGATCGAGTAATTTGACAGTGCGAGTCTGCGCGCCAAAACCATTTCACGGGTACCGTTCCTCGTTTTGTAGTTAGACATGCTTTAAAATTGATAACTCAAGTAAAAATGACAAGAACTAGAAAGTATTATAGACCAAAAACAGTGAAAGAGGAGAAGAAACGGAAAAGGATAAATTACTTATAAATTAAGTACACAATGAAAATATAGAATTTACGAGGTTATAAAACATTAAGCATTAGCTATCTTGATACCGATAAAGATACAAACAGAAAAACAAAATCTCAGCTAAAGAGGACTGGAACTGACTTATAAATGTTGACACTAAAAACTGAGAAAACTGCAAGAATTCCTAGATAAGGTAATAAAGGAAAGCGAGAAGAAAGGACTAAGCATCAATTGTAAAAAGACAGAATTTATGGTTTTTGGTAAGAGGAACAGCCCAAGATGCGAAATACGAATCGGAGATCACAAATTCAAGCCAGTACGAAAATTTAAATATGCGAAAAGTACTTTAACAGAGGAAGAGAAATGTGAAACCGAAATCCGAAGGCGAATTGGAATTGCAGAAGATGCTTTTCAAAAGCTAAGCAAAGTATTAAGAAATAGAAACATTTCGTTAGAAACAATAAAAAAAATGTGCTGAACTGTTATGTTAATATCGACCTCGTATATGGAAGGAAGGATTGGAGAATTTGACACTCACAGAACATATTAAAGATAAAAAAAGACCAGAGGAATGCAGCGAATAACCTACCTAACGAACTTGCGTAAATGGCTAGCAGAACAGGAAATGGGAGAGATAGCGAAAAGACAGACCTTACTAAGTGTTACAACGGACAGGAAAATGTGGAGAGACATAATCTCTAATCTATATAATTTTATTCCCAATTAATACATAAGAAATGAGTGATCGATTCGTTTATTATGGCTTATCAACCCTTGCTGGTTATTTAAAACCAGAAAACATTTTCAGAAATTTAAGAAATTATTTTTTGAGATAATAATAATTTAGTGATACAAATCTTACTAATTAACCCATAGCTGGGGAGAGAAGCGGTATATTCGTACCTTTCCGAAGGGTATCTGCGCGTAAGTGAATTTAACGAACCCAACTGGAATTGGAACACGGCTTTTCGATTAACAATTCAGAGCCGTTATCTGTTATACCACCCGCACATCCAAGCTTACAGCACCTGATATTCCCAAGTTGGTCACTCATCTTGGTACTGACCAGATCATTGCTTAACTTCGGTGATCAGACAAGAACCGGTATTTTCAACATGATGACGCCGTAAGCCCAATAATAACAATAAATATGATCTTGAAAGCTTGAAAAATTCACAGACATGTTATATTGACGAAACATCGTTGGCTTCGATCAAGGATGGGTTAAATGAAAAAATACGATCTTTGGGCTTAGGATAAACTCTTTGTGCAGCCCCCTGCTATTAAACCCCTTAATGAAGATGAGACATAGGAACTCCATAGTGTTCCCAGTCAGATTATGCAACAAAGCTTGTTTTTTTTCTTTTCGTAAAACATAAGTGGGGGGGGGTGCAAAATAAATATCGATAAAAGATATAGTTAAAGAGAAATAAAATAAATATTATATAGTATATGGGATGGCCCAGTTTTTGGAATGCTGTCATCGCAAGCCATTGTGAGTTAGATTGATTATTGTCGAGAGCTTTAAATATGCGAGTCACTACGAAATCTGATCAAGTCAAATAAGCGCCCCCCCCCAAAAAAAATCGATATTCAATTAATATCGAAAATAGATGGTTTAATACATTAAGAACAGAGAAAATGGAAAAAAGAAATAAACTGGCAGAAGAAAGAAATAGAATAAAACGAGGAATTGAACATAATAAAACATAAATCCCAATGATATCGAGAAATATTTACTAAGCTTAGCTTATCCTGGCATAAACCCTTAGGTCCGGATTACTCAGTAAGAACCGAACTAAGGACAATAAAAAAGGGTCTGGAAGATAATTCCTCAAGACGAGGCCATGAGGAAACAATTAAAACCTAGAGGCAGTAGATCGCTTTTTTTTTATTACACAGGCATTTTAAAACGGTTACACTGGCCATGATCAAATAGAATTAAAAATAACATTTGAGACTAGATAATGGAATATTATAGAAAGTTTTAAAACGAATAATTCTGTGATATTTTTTTTTATTCTATTTCATGATGACGACACATCATTTAAATAAGACCATGAATGACATTTGCGTATATGTGGATATTTCTTGTTTCTTTATTTTTTTTTATTTCTGTCAAAATAATATATGCTATTCAAAGATGAAAGTCCTAAATACGTCTGAGACAGAAACTGATCATGTACGAAAATAATACATCTTTTAAAATAAAATTTAAATTAATAAGATTTTAGGACACGTCAATGGCCAAATTGTACCAATACAAGAATTTCTTTAAAAAGAATATTCAGATATCAATAGGGATTTTAAGTTATGTGCTTTAGTTTGAATGAAGTCGGTTAATAGTTACTTGTCTTGAATAAGAGTGTCTGAGAATTGAGTAAAACCAGATCAACTGATTCTCATCAGAACAACCTAATTCACTTTCAGCATGGTTAACAAGACGTGGCCGGTTAACAAATTTACTGGATTAAACACACACACGCGCGCGCGCTCGCGCATATATAAAGGGTGTCCCAATAATTTGGATCGATTTTAAATGTGAATTAATTTTAAGCGCCTAATGATTTTTTCTTTTTCTTTCAGATTTGGCTGACATCTGGGAGATATTATTTTTCACCCATAATTGCCATGACTTAAATTACATGATCCAATAGAGAAATAAATAAATTTTCACCAAAAACACTGATTTATTTACTGCTGACTTTGATCCGTCTTAATGAAACACCCTTATCGATTGTTTATTACCGCATTATGCTACTCAAAAGTTTCATACGCGAGGCAATGATTGCACGTAGCATCGCGTGGTAAGGTAATGTCGGTTTCAATTTGGGTGGAATGACTGCAAAAACTTTCTCCCTCCCCAAATTTATAGACAAACTGTACAGATACATGCTGGGATTTCTTCCACTTTTCATTCTCATCCGCCATATTTCTGTTATTTCTTGTCTTGAAATCAGAACTCTGTGATCACTTGTTTGTATCCCTTTTGAGGATTAACATCCTTATTGTTTTTTGAACGTTTTTGTCTCATTACTGTTGCTTTGCCTTTCATATAATGTTTACTCAATATTATTTTTGCCCTCTTTTCTTTCTCATTATTGTTTATTACAAACTTTATCAATTCTGTTTGTTAGGACTTTTTCCGAATTACATTTAACCATAACCAATTACTTAACAACTCAATATTATTTTTGTCTTTTTATTTTTCTCTTTTGTCATTGCTTATTGCAAACTTTGTCAGTTCTGTTTGTTGCGTACTTCTGCCAATTACATTTAACCATGGCCAATTACTCTACAAGAACAACGATATAATGTTTCAATATACGAGCTTAGCTCTGTTCTTTTACACCGAACTCTGTGTTTTTTTTTTCACTCCCATTACCCACTATTCACTATATTATAGTTTTTAAATCCTCACTGGCTTTACCACATTTGAAACATTGTGTAAAACTAAATTCAGATTCATACATATAATCCTAGACCAGGCAAACAATCACGAATCTCTTTCACACTTAGTTACTGGTACACGAATCGAACCCAATCAATCTTTCTGAGGAACCAATACATTCCCCATATTAAGTTCGCGCTAATGACCCAGAATCCGTTAAAAAATTATCTTTTATAAATGGTTTCATTAATTAAAGTGCCAAGAACCAAATTAAAAAAAGCCTGTCTTCTGGAACGGCATTCTCGTGAGATATCAGGTTGAGATACGAGAGCAAGCCAGGCGCCAAAATCAGATTTTAGGGAAGAAATTTATAACTTATTTTGTAGCTGTTGCGGGAATTTCATTTTGTTAATAGCTTTGATTGATGTGACAATCACCCAAAGATATTGTAAAGCCCCATGGCAATAAAAGATCCATGCATACACGCGCAGTACTCTTCTACAGGCAGACATCCAATACATACATACATACATACATACATACATACATATATACATATATATATATATATATATATATATATATATACATATGTGTGTGTGTGTGAAGACTAATGTCAATACCGAGAGGAGACATCAGTTTATTTCATGCTTGAGCGCAGTTTTAAGCTGCCTTGAAGACTGCATTCAAGCATGAAACAGACTGTTGCCTCTCCATTATATTTATATGCGCTCTATCTCTGATATTGAGCACGTTTAGCCATAAATATAGCATAACTTAAAACTATATTTTATCATAATTATATAAATACACACACGCACACACACACATATATATATATATATATATATATATATATATATATATATATATATATATATATATAATGTTTAATATTTGATAAATTTATTTTAAATAAGTACGTGAAATACTCTCCACATGTCAACACACCACAGCGAAATGGCTGATGAAACTACTACAAAGTTAGCGAAACATGTCAAATTTATACACATTTGCCTAATTGTTCCTTCTTTAATCATATATATATAAACTATATTTAATATATATATATATATATATATATATATATATATATATATATATATATATATATATATATACATGTGTGTGTGTGTGTAATGCCTATTATAGATTTCTAGTATAAAAATCTTTGTCCGGAGAGCAAGTACAAAAATTTGTATGCAAATATATACAGAGTCATTATGATCCACATATGATCTACATCATCAAAGGAAACTTAATTACATGTTATGCAGCGCATATTTATTGCAGATATATATTTCGGACGCTTACATGCGCAGATATATATATATATATATATACGGTGTTTCCTCTCGTCTTTTAAGATCCGCACAAAAAAGCTTATTCGTGAATACGAAAGGAACCTATCGAAAAGTAGACAGAACATGTCTAAATTCTTTAACGAAACCTGTCTGAAAAAAAAAAAAATATATATATATATAAAGGGTGTGAGCGCTATTTGTGGTCATATTGTTTTAAGTTCACTACACACTCAAATCATTTATAATATTTTCTTTTTTTTTATTTCAGTTAACCCAATTAGAGGAAGATGTTAACCCAAGAAATGAAAAGACATGCAGCCATTGTTGCTTTAGCTGAAAAACATAGTGATTTAAAAATCCAGATCATTTGTTCATAAGGTTCGGTTGGAGCTAGAGGGATGTGATGGGAAAAAGAAAAAAGTAAAAAAGCAAAAAGAAAAAAGCATTCACATCTCTCTGTTGCCGTGAGAACACCAGAATTTATACGGAATGTTCAAAACATCATCGATGAGAACCCCGGAAAATCAATGCGGTCCATCGCTAAAGATCTCCAGTTATCAGAGTGGACTATCAGAACCGTGGTACATCAGGACATTCGATATAAGTCATATGTATTGAGGAAAGGCCAATTCTATCAGCGAAGACACAGGAAACCCGTTTCATGCATTCAAAACGGTTGCTGAACAAAGTGAAAAATCCCCGCTTTGGTTTTTCTCTGACGAAAAAAAAAACTTTGACCAAGATCAGAAAACAGACAGACGGAATGGCAGGTAGATGTTTGAATCTCCTTTTGAAGTACCCAGGGTGATGCACACCAAATATCTGGCTACTGTGATGGTTTTAGGAGTTGTGAGCAGTGAAGGTCATGTCATGCCACCTTAAATTTTCCCACAAGGTCCTAGGGTCAATGCTGCTGGATACATTAATGTTCTTAAAACAGTTGTTAAGCCCTGGATAAATAATTATGCAACGGAAGACCATATGTCTCTCAACAAGACACTGCACCTTCTCAGAAAACCATTGTAACCCAGGATTGGTTATCAGAGAATTTTTACGATCATGTGACCCCCAACATGTGGCCCCTTAACTTGCCAGATTTAAATCATATGGACTATTATATGTGAAGAGTCGTGGAAAGGGAAGACTAATCGACATCCTCATAGTACTATAGCTGCATTGTAGGCCGCCATTGTCCAGGTGGTGTCCAAAATGAATAGGGACCACTTAATTGCAGCTTGTGGACGGTTTCGAGCCCGAATAGAAGCAGTCATTGAAGCCAAAGGCGGTTTCATAAAATAATTAGATGAAGAAGTATTATGAAGGATATTTGTGTCAATTTGAAATAAATATATACATTGTTTGCTAAGATATTGCTGTTTAATTAACATACTAAAAATGTTCTCAAATAGCACTGGCAACCTCTCTCTCTCTCTCT